AGGGGAAACTCATTATTTTGAAAAGTAAGATAAATAGAACAGAAAGATTCAAGCCTGAGCTCTATTTTTGGGGTTCGCTAGGGATCCACTTTGTAGCCAGACTTGCTTCTGTACACCAGCCAAAGGGAAGGATCAGGACCCCCAAGTCTGGTTTCAAGCTTCCCTGAGACCAGGTGGGAAAGCTGCATGAAGACTCAACTTTGTATGAAAGCATTCTTCTTAGGACAGGAAAGAAGTTCAGCTAGCCCTAAACCATATTTACATTACCAGAGAGGAAGTAATGCTTCTGACTTCCGCCTTCCTTTTTCCTTTAATCCAAACATGTAATAACCACAGCTGCAGCCCGATCAAATGAGTGCGTGTGTCCTTCACTGGGGATTTTCTAATCCCTGCAGCCCAACAGACCCTGGGGCGGTTGTTAGAGGAAACCCATAATAACCACAGATGTGACACACTCACCGAGGGCTGGCCCCAGAGTGCCGTGGTTAAGTACTATGCAAGGAAAGGTGGAGCCCACGTGGCAACCCAGGGTTCGAATCCCAGCCCCGATGGAAACACGCCAGGCCCACGCAGGCACACCCACCATCCTGATAGGGTGGAGAGCTGGAGGAAGGACTGTGCACAACCAGGCCCGGTCCAGGCCCAGTGGTGGTGGTAGTGTGGGGCGCTTTCTCTCTCTCACATGTATACACATGTACTTTATCGTGAATAAAAAGAACAATTTTTTAAAAAGATACCCACTGAGAAGTGAAAATTGAATGCAGGTGAAGAGCCATAGAGCAGGCCGATAACTGCAAGGGTGAGGCCTGAACGTCAGAAAACGTCGGTGACACCGCGCACTTGTCTCCTCAACCACAAAATGAGCTCATGAGCAGGTTCTTGTGAAGACTAAATACGGTAACACATGTACAATATACTTTAGAAACAACATAAATACCAAGTGCTACCTTCTAATTATTGATAGAGTACCACAAAAATAAAACTGACACATTTTCATTATCGGGCTAGATGTGAGTAAAAAAACAGCAAGTGTTAAAATCTCTACTGCAACCCTAGGTAGGCGGAGGCTCAGTTCAGCCCCCACACCCAGAGACTGTCACAATAACCCACCCACACCCGTTGGTCAGGACTGACATTCTGGGCACGACGTCCCATGTCCAGGGCAGCAAGGAGTCTGGAAGCCAAGCCGTAAGAGAAGCTGGCGTAAGAGACACAGAAGAAAGAGCTGGTACATGTTCCTTGGAAAGGAGAGGACGTGAGGAGCCCCGCGGAGCCCTGACCAACGTCCTCGCGGCACCCAGGAACGGTCTTTAGCGCTGGAACACCCCTAGGCAGGGGACGGTGCCCTTTCGTGTGTTCAAAGGAGAAGCCACTCTCGTTTCTCCCCAGCTTCTGACCCTGCACCTACCAGACATTTGACCACCAAGTGGGGGGCGGGGCTTAATCAGACAGACAAAGATGTATGAACGGTGTAAAAAGTCTATCAGCAAAGCTAAGCTTGTAGCTGCTCATGATGTGAATTGTTACACCTTCTCACTTGGGAAAGAGGCCTCCTTTCATACATTGCGTTGTCAGTGAAGTCAGGATGTATTTGTTTTCTGTTTTTATACACAAAAACGCACCATGGCTTTCCTGACAACCCGATGTATATGTATGTATGTGTGTGCGTCTTTGTACTCTCACGGTCCTCCCAAGCACCCTACTGGATGGACTGTCGCAACTGTCCGGCGAGCCAGGCAGTTACTGAGCACCTGACACTTGCCAAGAATCTCCCGTGCAGCTTTCTAGCATACTTGAAGAAGGCACTGCCAGGAGCCCCATTTTACAGATAAAGAGATTCACAAGGTCTCAGGGCTCCCAGGGGACACTCTAGCATCCCCGTGTCCTGTGACCCCTGCACTATGCACTGCCGCCTTACGTAAAGCTGGCTGGCTCAGGACATTGTACACACATCCGTGTGTGTGTACATGTTTATACATACATATACACACACACATATAAAAACATATTTAGATTTTTGCCTGAGGGTGTGTGCACTTACAAGACAGAAACAGAAAGACAAAGAAGGAGGGAAAGTGAAAAATCACCCCCTGGGGTGATATCCACACCATAGTCCCTTCTCCCAAATTCTCCTCTTGGGATTGGGCATGCACACACACACGCCCAGTGTGTTTTTCGACCCACAGGGTCCAGGCCTCAAACTGCAGAGTCGGCCATGGGATCCAGATCCTTAACCACCATGCCACCTGCTGGCTATATGTACACGTGTATAAAATATTTTTAGGAGCCGGGAAACAAATGCTATGCAACAACCCCTGACAGTCACTGACAGACCACGGCAGGGACTGTCCTAAGTGTCTTACACTCACTAACTCGGTCAATCGATCCATGCAACCCAGTGAGGCAGACACTACTGTTATTCTTCTCTCTCTTTAGAGAAAGGCAGGCAGGGAGAGAGAGGGACACCTGCCCGAGATTACCAACAAGTGAGTGGTTAAGACTCAAACCCAGCCCATCGGGCTTCAGGTACATAGCACTGCCTCTCAAAGAGTAGCTTCCAAACTCCCTACAACCACTGCTTCTCTCACAGTGCTGGCCAAGGACTAGTGACCGCCTTTCTAACTGCTACACTGTGAAAACACGTATACTAGCGGAAATCAAATTCTAAACCTTCTAAGGTTTTATCTTTAAAAATGCCAGTATTCTTGGGGCTAGCAGGTGGCAAAGTGGTTAAAATCCTGGACTCCCACATGGCTGACCATGTTTCACGTCCCAAACCCAGCAGCTCAACAGCTTAAAACTCACACCGTGTGTGTGTGTGTGTGTGTGTGTGTGTGTGTGTGTGTGTGTTTGCGAGCACACACAAAATCCCAAGAGGAGAATGGAGGAGAAGGAACTGAAGTGTGGCCATGTCCCCGGGGGGTAACTTCTCACTTCCTCTCTCTCTCTCTCTCTCTCTCTCTCTCTCTCTCTGAGCGCACACAC